CATGACCCACCAGACCAAATTTCACCAAAATTCAGCCACTACTCCACTAAATCTCAGTAAATATGTGGCTTTATTTTATTTAATTTGGTTAAGTGAGTGATAAGATATTAATCCATTTTTAAAAAAATGGGGAAAATAAAAAAAATATCCAGTAACTTTGGGATGTGATATCTCATGAACCACAAAACCAATTTGGACGAAAATATCACCATTTGATTCGCCAAGACTAGACAAATCGAATAGTAATATTTTCGTCCAGATTGATATTGTGGTTCGCGAGATATCGCATTCCAAAGTTACCAGATATTTTTTTTATTTTCCCCATTTTTTTATTTTTAAGCAGATTTTTATCAGATTTTAATCCGGAAATTTGTTAACAAAACCCATGATTTTCCAGAACTAAAAAACCAGATTTTTTTCTGATTTTTGTTTTTTATTTTTTTTTACAGGGCAAAGAACATCATTAGCAATCGATTGCAACCGCTAGTGATAGAAAACGATGATGTGTTGATGATTAATTGCCAATGGAAATTGTCAGCAATTGATTGTCAATGAGTTCTGTTCACAATCGATTGCAATCACGATCGATATCAATCGGTGGAGGTGTTAATAATTGATTGCCAATGTATAAGATAGCTAATCGATTACTAGCGAAAATTGATTGCAATCAATTGCAATCACGATCGTTGCTAATCGGTGGGTTGTTGCCCTGTGAAAAAAAATAAAAAACAAAAATCAGGAAAAAATCCGGTTTTTTAGTTCCGGAAAATCACAGGGTCAATGATTTTCGAACGCAATCAATTGTCAGCAATTATAATCAATTTTAATCACTAACAATTGATTATAATCCCTATCGATGATGAATGATGGAGATGTTGATAATTGATTGCTATTGGACATGGTTATAAATCGATTGCCAATGGGTATAGAAATTTCCTGATGTGCCTTTATCAATTTTTGAAGATGGTTGATCAGTGACAACTTATTCTGATTGTACGCAATCATTGCAATGGGTTGAGTCACAAGGAATAAGGCATTCTTCACATAGCTTAACATTAATGAATTCGAGTTTGATTAATTATAATTGTCATTCTGGAGTAATCTGCTAATAGATAGAGTGGAAAATTTCTGCTGCTGAGGCTTTTTCTGAATCATTATATTCGATATATTCAATTTCATTGACAATATCATCCTCTTGAATATATCAGGATAGTATTGCTTTTCCAATTTCATTGCAGGCTGAGTAGACGTCAAGGAGAAGATATCTTTCTCAGAGTTTTCTAATAATTCCAGCATTTTTATGCCAGCCTTCACAGTTGAACCAAAAGATGCATTGGTATTCATAAGTGCAAAAGTATCATTTTTCATAACTTCCAGTAATATACATATTTCTGGCTTCATCATGATCTCTGACTCCACCAGGATGATCCTGAAAAGTTCAGGTCACGTAATATTATAGATCTTCTGACCCATCAGTTCTGATCCATCAGGATGATGATTATCGACTATGGAATATTCATACAAGTCTTATTATGCCAATGAAAGAAAGAATATAACGAAATTTTGCTGGGTTTGTTCAGAGTTTACATTGTCCTGAATATTTTGCATTGGTGGAGAATCTGCTGAATTTATTCAAGCAATTATTTCAGTCATGTCAGAGCTTATACCGTTCTGAATATTTCGTGTTGGTGAAGATGTTCATTCAGTTTGAGTATTAAACTAAATTTGTGAGGTGATGAAAGAAAGAATGCAATGAGAATCTGTTGGATTTATTCAAGCAATTATTTCAATCACATCAAAGCTTATACCGTCCCAAATATTTTGTGTTGGTGAAGAGGCTCCTTCAGCTTGAGTATTAAACAAAGTTTGCGAGGTGATGAAAGAAAGAATATGATGAATCTGCTGGGTTTATTCAAGTAATTATTTCAGTCACGTCAAAGCTTATACCGTCCTGAATCATTCAGTTCGAGTATTCCTTCAGTTGGATATTTTGAAGTAAGTTTTTATTGGTTTGACTATTTCTATTAGTTTGATTATTTCTATTGGTTTGAATATATTAAAGTAAATTTACTTATTTTTTTTTACAAAAAATTAAAACTAGTGACAAAATATACAGTGATTAAATAAAGTCTCTGATAGAATTTTAGAATTCAATTTAAGAACTTAAGTACTAAGCATTAAAAGCTCTGAGATTCTTTGATGCAGTAATAACCAAAATTTCACTTGTACTGAAGTAGCAATTTTCCAGATCAAATACCCTTCTTATAATATTATAATATGTGTATTCTATATATAATATAATGAACTTAGCTTTCATTTATTGATTGATGGGATCACATTTAATGGAACAAATGTATTCTATATATAATATAATAAACTTAGCTTTCATTTGTTAATTGATCTGGTCACATTTAACAAAACAGTTAAATTATTTAAAGATCCTTGTTATTTTAATGAATAAAAATTCACATACCTTTGGTCTCCGATAATTCTTGAATATTGATATTTTAAATCTCACTATTTTTTTCGTATTTTGTTTCTTTAGTGAGCTACTATATATAAACTAAAACATAAAATTTAGAATCTCAATTAGCTAAATACTATAAAAAACTCTTGTCTTAATTTATTAGATAAAATGTGACATAGATTAGTAAGTTTAATCAAGGTTAATAAAGATAACTCAAGTACTTAATAATGTTTTATATGTAATCTTATTCCTGAATTAGTATCACCACGTGATCTGAGATGCATTGCAGTGTGTAACTCTGCACAGACCTGTTCGATACCTAAATTCCCATATCACAAACAGATCTATTAATAATGATGTTCTGCACTAAATGCAAATGCAATCGCTCTGATGATTAATTCATTTGGGATGGCCTACATCACAAGACATACAAGAGATGTAAAGAAACCTGTGACTGAAAGAATAAAAAGCGCATGCCATCAACTAGAATCACGGAGAAAACGTTGAGAGAGTCTAATAAGGAAGAAAATAACATCAATGATATTATTCATACTGTAGCTGCAACAGAACACTCAAACTCGAAGGTAGAGCATATCAGTGATGCTTTACAGATCAAAGTTGATTATCTTGACGTGGGGAACTTAATCGAGTATGAGATCCGAGAGCTGACAGTTGGTGAATCTATTGATGGAATAGCTGATATATCTTATAAGACTCATCTGCTAGTACATTCAGACATTGTCATTACTCAGAACAAAACGGCAAAGGAGATGGCTGATCTTATCATTACTGAAGTTGAAGGCGAAGATGACTATTCGTGGAAGTAAGTAACATCGCATTGTGAAATTTGTTAGATTATTACTAACTTGATATATATAATTATTGGAGTTTTCAAAATGCGAACATATTAAGAAAATTCAGAAATGCAGTTGGTCATTTCCTTTACATATGTTGTCAATCAAAAGAGGTACAGAGTGAAGAATATAAAAATTCCAATTGCAAACAAAGAACGCGTTATGATTGCAGAGGTAAAATTATAGTATGAGTTGATATGATTCTTAATATTACAAAGGTGAATATCTATCACAAATCTCTCCATTCGCATCCAAACCTTTGCATTGAGATGCCTGACGAACTATGGGAAGAGATCAAAACACACTCGCATCTTACTGTAGTGGACTTAAAAAATCATCTTCGACATTAAAGATATGATATATCGAAATACTCGCCCAAGCATATTTACTTCTGGAAGTCTATAGCAAACCAAAAGCTATTCCAATGTTATGATAATCACATTGAATCTGTGTGCAAGTTGCTCACTGAACACAACAGTTATGGTTTCTGTTGGTGTTTAGATATAAGAGATTCAGAGACCACAGCTATTGATTTTACCACTCTATTGCTAGATGAAATCCAAAATTATGGCATTAATATTACTGAGATATACATGAATGCCACTTATAAGACTGCACGAGGATGCTATGAACTGTATGGTATCATAGCAAATGTTAAAGATACTGCTTTCCAATTGCCTATCTTATACTTGATATAACTAAAATGATGAACACGAGTACTAATACAGGCAGATGTTGTAAAGTCTTGGAGAGCTTTTTGAAAACGATGAAGATGAATAATATTAATCCAGAATTTGTGTTTACCGACAAAGATTTCATAGAAATCAATGCCGTGATCAAGGTGTGGAGGTCTTTGACAGTTCAATTATGTGCTTGGCATATGAATCGGACCCTAAAACTTAAACTCCAAGAGAAAGCCAAGCCATCAAACAATACAGAACATGAGACACAACTACATACCATAATTTATAATGTTAATCAGGTGACCAATGAGTTTAATTTTGTTGATCCTGCCTTTTATCCAACAGACAATGACTGTAATTCAAGAATATACGTTGTCTGTCTATCAGCATATTGAGAGTTTATTTTAAAGCTTATACAGAAACATTTCAATATGTACCTGTTAATACCCATTGATGCTCAGGGAAATACCATGACACTGATAGATATTAGACAAAGCGCAGTAAAAGAGATGTATCAATTCTGCACTGAAAACTCATTGCGATTACTTTGGGCCTATCTCTGGATTAACTGGTATTCATCAGAGAGGTGGCATCTGTGGGCATGATCAGTAAGATTCATTATACCTTTTGGAAAAACAATGATGAAGATCAAGCCCACTGGAGTGTCATCAAATGGTGTTATTTACATCATTTTAATCACTTTAGACTCGATTTGCTGCTTTGAACACTCTTCAATGAGATAATGCCAGCACAAAAAGAGTGATTATCTCAGATTCTAACTGGTATGATGGCACCATGGTGGTGGAATGATTTCAAGAAAGCATGGATCACTGCGGGTGCGAGTAACAATCAGCGAGCTAATGAGCATATCAAGGGCAAAAGGAAGCGAAGCACCAATATGAAAATAATAAATTTGAACAATTTATATTTTACTAATATTACACGCTGAGTTTGCAGCTGTTCTGCCTTTCTTGGAAGTTACTTCTTCCTATACAAGCATCTAGTTCAGCAAGTCTTTATTATGCCCAATGGTGAATGATGAAGATTGCTGCAATGTAACTTTAAACGCCACATCACTCTATCATTTCTTGTTTTGAAGGATCTTGAAAGTGAAGAAATTATAACTAATATCTCACCTGTTATATCTACTACGCTTGAGAAAACCCAAATTGTTGATTTCTATAACATAGTCAATAATACACTCAATGATAATGATGTTAACATTGATGAAAATCCAAAAGAGAAGGTCCATGCTTATGTCGAATCAAATTGGTCATTGTTCGAACAGGTAATCAAGCGGATCCATACCGAAAAGTCAGCTAATAGCTGGCATCATGTTCGCGCAATGATGGAATGGAGCAGACTGATACCAATGGAAAAGGAAATCGAGATAGTAGAATGGCAAAAACATCAGCAGGCGACTTGGGCACCGGCAAATAGGAAATCATACTTGATGTTTTTGTCATGTCCAAATGAGTTGGATGATCATAGAGATAAGTCAAGTTTGGCAAAAAGTATATCAACCGATGATGTGAATATTATAGCAATTGAAGATAATGATATACTACAAGATTTCAGAAAACATGAGAGTCAAAAAAACATGTAAATTTGTTTTTTATTCATTATTGTACTTATTTGTAGTTTTATTTTTTCTTCAATATCATTATTTCTTGTAAAAAAAATAGTATATTAAATAACAATAAGACATTAATAATTAATCTCAAATAATTTACCTTCATATCTAAACTGAATAATTGCTTAAATAAATCCAGCAGATTTGTCGCATTCTTTCTTTCATCACCTCGCAAACTTAGTTTAATACTCAAGCTGAATGAATCTCTTCACCAACACTGAATGATTCGGGATGGTATAAGCTTTGACATGACTGAAATAATTACTTGAATAAACCCAGCAGATTCTCATCGCATTCTTTCATCATCTCGCAAACTTAGTTTAATGCTCAAGCTGAAGGAGCCTCTCCACCAACACAAAATATTTGGGATGGTATAAGCTTTGATGTGGCTGAAATAATTGCTTGAATAAACCCAGCAGATTCTCGTCACATTCTTTCTTTCATCACCTCGCAAACTTAGTTTAATACTCAAGCTGAATGAACCTCTCCACCAACACTGAATGATTCAGAACAGTATAAGCTTTAATGCGACTGAAATAATTAGTTGAATAAATCCAGCAGATTCGTCGCATTCTTTCTTTCATCACCTCGCAAACTTAATTTAATACTCAAACTGAATGAACATCTCCACCAACACGAAATATTCGGAACAGTATAAGCTCTGACATAACTGAAATAATTGCTTGAATAAATCCAGCAGATTCTCCACCAACGCAAAATATTCAGAGCAATATAAACTCTGAACAAACCAGCAAAATCTCATTATATTCTTTCTTTCATTGGCATGATAAGACTTGTATGAATATTCCATAGTCAATAATTGTCACCCTGATGGATCAGAACTGATGGGTCAGAAGTTCTATGATATCACATGGCCTGAACTTTTCAGGGTCACCCTGGTGAAGTCACGATCTCCACAGTGAGAGCATGCAGGTAGATTCAAACGTTTTTCAGCTATATATTCATTATATGCTATTGACTTTTCACCATTCATTTGAAAGTATACTCTAGTGTAGTATTTATCAACATATTTTTCACACTCTAAGCATTGTTTGATTTGAGTATCTGGATAGATTTAGTGTAAGACATCTTCATAAGTATCAAATCTTTCTTTTACTCGATTTTTGATGAAGAGTTTGTATTCAAATTCAGCAGCCCAGTCATCACTAGTTTTATACTCAGCTCGATATGGTTTGTGAGTTTCAATAACAATTCAATTGGCTAAGTCATCATAACATTGATGACAACATTGTTCTGGAGTATATAATCGATTATAGCACCGGCATTTCTTGTCTGATCCTTTCCAATTAAAAGACCATTGACTTTTCCATCTACATGATTGTTGAAATTTTTCACTGAGCATATTATAATCTTCCCAAGTGAATTTTCTCCATTGTACTTTAATTCCTTCTTGATATGCTTGTACATCATCAATCAATTTTGCACTTCGAATAATTCTGGTTGGCATATCTGGGTGATTGATATATTTTAGTTCTCTTTTAAGAGTTTCAACTGGGGTTCAAGTTTCTTCAAGTATTGTATTTATATTTTTGTCAAACTGTACTCGAGGTCTGCATGGTTGAACTACTATCCAATCATCATAGTTGAGCATTAGAAAGTTTCAAATTTCTAGATGTTGTTCTTCGAATTCTTCTTCATTAGTTAAGGATTCATCATCTGATTCATCAGATGATTCATCAGAACTGTCATATCCTTGTCCATAGATAAATTTAATTTTGGTATTTCCTTTTTGGTTATTCCAATCGAAAGACATAGTTTCATTATGTAGATCTAGTTTGACTTTAATTTTATTCAACCAATCTATTCTAACTACTACACTATAAGTACAAGCTTTAGTGATATCAATATTAGCAGGAATTATGATTTCAGCAATAGTGATTGGGAAGTTATCGATTGCACCAAGAGGTTGTTTAGATTCACCATTTATATCTGATATAGTGATATTAGATTTTTGTTGGATTTTGATATCATGTTTTTTTAGAAAATCATTACTAGCAACACAACCAGAGACACAAGTGTCAATGATTAAGTTGATGGATACAGTTCCAATCTTAGCTTCACACTAGGTAGAGGTAGTTATAATCTTCTGTCCAACAATTCCAGTAACTTTTCTGATGGTTTTTCGTTTTGGTCTAGAAGGTTGTCTCATGACTTTAGACATTTTAAGATGTTGTTCTGGAGAGGTTCAAATTAGTTATCCAATTATAATGTTGACTTTACTGGTTGTCAAGTCATCTAGAATATCGTATAGAACAGATTTGGCAGCAAGAATGGGTAATACAGCTTTGCCTTTTTTTCTTTTTTGGTCTTTTGTTGGTGCAATGATTCGTGCAGTAGGTATAGGTTGTTCAGCCTGAATTCCTAGTGGTAAAACATTTAATATTACTGATTACTTGGTCCAGTCATAACTGTATCTTCTTCTTTAACTGTATCTGATTTATCTAGTTTGGCTCTTTTTTGATCACCAGTTAGATAATCATGAGTGGCAAGAAGTAAGGATGCTTGCCTAAATTCTTTCAGAAAAATATCATCATAATTTCGACGGGTTAATACTAATTGTTAATTAGAATTTCGACATAATTTTGGTTATGACGGGTTTCAAAATTTGTCAGAATTTTGACAGGTTATTTACTAATAGTTTATTATAATTTCAACAGAATTTAGACAGTCACTAAGGGATTTCGGCAAGCAACCTTAGCAAGAAGTGTCAAATTTGTGGGACCTGAAATTTCAGTTTGTTGAGAAAGATTGAGTATTTGGAGAGCAGCTAATAATAGTTGAATTTGGGATAGGATATTAATTTGGTTATCATTATTATTATTTGTTGATACTGATCAATTAGAAGTAGTGTTTGTTCTAACAAAATTATTACTATTATTATTAAATTGATTATTTTGGTTGCTCCAAGACTGTTGATTTCTATTAGAATTTTGATGATAAGTGCTTTGATTATATGATTGATCACAATTTCTGGATAGATGTCCAATTTCGTTGCAGTTGTAACAAGTTGGAG